TGGGTGTATGATTAAGCTTGATAAGCAGAAAGCATATGATATGGTTAATTGGCAGGCCCTTGAGCACATTATGTGTGAAATTGGTCTTCCTTAGAGATTTGTCAATTGGATTATGGCTGCTTTATCTACCGTGTCTTACGAGTTCTGCATAAATGGTTCCATATTTGATGTGCTGTAAGCCAAGAGAGGGATTAGACAAGGGGACCCTATTTCCCCTTATCTTTTTTTTTTATCATCATGGAGTATCTTCATAGATGTCTCTATCAAATGCAAATGGACCCCAATTTCAATCACCATTCTAAATGTGAGAAGCTAAAGTTGACTAATATTATGTTTGCAGATGATGTTCTCCTCTTTTCTAAGGGTGATAGTTATTTTGTGGAGCTAATGCTTACAACCTTCTATAAGTTCTCTTCTTCCACTGGCATGAAGGTTAATACCAACAAGAGTAAGATTTATTTTAGGGCTGTTGATTCTATTGTTAAAAATCAGATTTTGGTTTGGTATGCTTTCAAAGAGGGAAATCTTCCTTTCAAGTACCTTGGTGCCCCTTTAACTTGTAAAAAAATAGGCATTAATCACTATATGGTCTTGGTGGATAAAATTACTGCTAGGATTCATCATTGGTCTGCTAAATTTATGACTTATGCAGGGCGTTTGCAACTTGTTAAGAGCATCTCCTTTGCAATTGCTAACTTTTGGCTCTGTTGTTTCCCTCTTTTAAAAGCTGTGATCAAGAAAATTGATGCGATTTATCGTTCCTTTATTTGGACAGGTAAATATAACATCAGTAAGAAGAGTTTGGTATCCTGGTCTAAAGTTTGTAAACCCCTTAAGTATGGTGGACTTGGCATTGTTGATTTGATGTCGTGGAATAAGTGTACTATAATTAGGCTTCTTTGGAACATCAATAGTAAACTGACTCCTTATGGGTGAAGTGAGTCCATTCTTATTATCTAAAGAATAAGAATATCATGGAGGTAGATGTTAAAACTAATAATACTTGGATAATGAGGAAATTTCTTGAGCAACATGAGTTTATTCTGCATAATCCCAATCTTTTGATGGACATGTGTACCAAAAGGAGATTCAACTTCAAAGCTTGCTATCTCTATATGATTAAGAGCCAGGAGGTGGTTTGAAGTAGATTGTTTCTCAACAATTCTGCTAGGCCGAGGGCCTTGATGATTTTTTAGCTAGCTTGTCACAGGAAATTAGCAACGAAATGTAGGCTTCTAAAATTTGACTTTATTGATAATAATAACTATGTATTTTGTAACAAGGAAGAGACTATTAGCCACCTTTTATTTGATTATGATACATTGCAAAAGATTTGGTATAGAGTCCTCAGTTGGATTCAAGTTCAACACTCTCAAAAAATGTGGGGTGATGAATTGATTTGGATGCTTAAGCATGGTAAAGGTTAATGTTGGAAATTCTATTTATTAAAGCTTGCAATCACTGAGACAATTTATGGCATTTGGCGGTTCCGTAATGATGTTTGTTTTGGTATTAGGATAGATAGTGAACTTGTTTTAAAGGAGATCATAGACAAAATTATTTTTAGAGATTGACATTGTAAAAAGCTAAAGGATAGGATCATCAGGTTAATGCTTTCATAGTCCTTGCTCTTTGTCTTGCTTGTTTTGTTGGTTTTCTTGTTTGGCTGAGATCCTTGCAATCACCGTGTTTTGTAATTGTTTTATTTATTAATATAAGTTCTTCTTTTTCTAAAAAAAAAATGAATAATTTGAAAAATAGTATGACTTTATATTTATTCTAAATAAATAAATAAAATTAATAGATATCTTTAAATTTGAAATATTTAATATATATATATATATATATATATATATATATATATATATATATATATATATATATATATATATATATATATATATATATATATATATATATATATATATATATATATATATATATATATATATATATATATATATATATATATATATATATATATATATATATATATATATATATATATATATATATATATATATATATATATATATATATATATATATATATATATATATATATATATATATATATATATATATATATATATATATATATATATATATATATATATATATATATATATATATATATATATATATATATATATATATATATATATATATATATATATATATATATATATATATATATTATATATATATATATATATATATATATATATATATATATATATATATATATATATATATATATATATATATATATATATATATATATATATATATATATATATATATATATATATATATATATATATATATATATATATATATATATATATATATATATATATATATATATATATATATATATATATTAAATATTTCAAATTTAAAGATATCTATTAATTTTAATGTCACATTTGATTCATAGTAATTTAAATCAATTTATTATCTTATTTATATGTTTTTAAATTAATTAATAAATTCACTTATGATTATTATAATATTTTATTTTAATGAAAAATGAAATTTTATTTTAATAAAAAATAAAATTTTATTTTTATCTTTATAATATATAAAAAAATAAAATTTTATTTCTATCTATAAAATTTTATAATATAATAAAAAGTCAAAACTTTAAATTTGTCTTTTTTTTCTTCTATATAATATAGTTAGAATATTTATTTATTTGACAACAGATTAAAAAAAATCACTTATAATTATTATAATATTTTATTATAAGAAAAAATAATCTTTATAATATAATAAAAAATAAATTCTATTTTTATCAAATTTTATAATAATTTAAAATAAATTTTTTAAGTTTGTCTGTTTTTTTATATAATATTTATTTTAATTAGTTAAAATATTTATTTTACTTAACAATAAATTAACTAGACATTAAAATAATAAATTCAATATTTATCGCTAATAGATTATATTTATTTATAAACATAATTAAATATGAGACACATACTTATCACTATTAAATAAATAAATTTAAGATAATATGATAAATATTTAGCTTTACAATGATTTTTATAAACAAAAATAAATTATAAATATTTTTCTAAGCGATAAAAATTCAATTATTAATATAATTGTTTTTTAACACGAACAAGTTAAAAATATTTTTATAAATGGTCACACGGTTTAAAACACTTATAAACGAAAATAAATCTATATATTGATATAATTATTTTTATAAACAGAAATAAATTACAATAATTTTTATAAATGAGAATAAATTACTAATATTTTTATAAACAAAAAAAATTTAACTATTGATATAATTGTTTTTAACATGAATAAGTTAAAAATAATTTTATAAATCGTCACATAAATTCAAAACACTTATAAACAATTTTTTTTATAAATATTTATATAATTATTTTTATAAACCGAAATAAATTATAATAATTTTTATAAATAAAAATAAATTATTAATATTTTTATAAACAGAAAAAATACAACTATTGATACTGATTAAGACACTTATTATATTTGTAGTTATATGAATATTAATCAACTGAATAAATAAATGAAAATTTAGTAAATAAAAAAAAAAACATATGATATAAATTCAGATGGAACGCGTACAATAACACTAATATTTTTGTAGTTTCTTTTTTAAAAAATTTATTCAACAAAACATTTAATGATGAATTATAATCCCCCGCTAATTTAAGAGGACTTATTTTCTCCCTTTTTTTAATCTATTCCCCTTTCTTTTTCATCATATATATAAAAAAACCGCCACCATATTTTTATAGCGAATCAATTTTCCGCCAACATTTTAGCGTGACTCCTCCTCTCCGAACAAGAAGCTCTCGCTTTCGATTCTCCGGCCAGTATTCTCCGACTGGTCTCGTCTCTCCGTCTCCGTTCGTTCTTCGTTTTCAGATCTACGCCTTTTCTCTTGGAAGTTGAACATATTCTAAGTTGCAGTGAGCTTCTATCTGGTATCCATCTATCTCTACACTGCTCTTTTTTTTTCTTCTGCTATGTTACTCTTTGAATCATAGTTAGGTTATATTTGATTACTAATTAGAAATTACATAAACTTTCTCCATTTTTCACTAAACTGGTTTATTAGGTTGCTGCTACACTATTTTAGGGTTAGGGTTTAGGAAAATTAAAGAAGAGAGAATTAACTTTAACTTTGATTCTTCATAAAATTCAAATAGAGGTAACTGCAATATTCAACCAGCTTGCTGAATTACAAGAGAATCAGAGTTAAAAACAAAATGCCCAAATTACAGTATTCTTCAAGGCTTCAATGTTAGCAGTAACCACAAAGAATGGGTAAATCTAGTGGAGAATAATGGACACCTTGCAAATCTAGACTAAAACTCTTTCTAGCTGAGAGCTTCAATTATGAACAAGATGGATTGAACCAGAAGGAAGCTAATGGCTATTACCATGACCATGAATCCCTAAGAACACACAATACTTCTTAAAAGATGAAGCAGATTTATTTAGTTGATACAAATACCCCAAATGAAAGAAGTGGACGTAATGAACGATACATATGAGAATTATGATTCAGATTCAAGTAGTACTTTGTAACTTTGCCTCTTGAGGTTATACATGCAATTTATGTTTATTTTAAGAGAGAGTGTGTATTTCAACATCTAGGGTGTATGGTAATCCTGTGCACCATAGAATAACTAACTCAGGAAGTTGGTTATTCTTGTCACTGACAGCTGTCTGTCAGGGTTGGTTAGAACCTTATATAGAAGGTTACTTCCCAGCTCATATATAAGCTTGTTGTTGTAACAGTTTTGATCAATTACAATCAGAATGACAAATTCCAATCAAGAATCTCTCTCTTCACCTTTCCTGTTATAATAATTTGTTACTACTACCATTTTTAATTATATATTTTTTATCCAATTCATTTTATTCTAGTAAATGGGTATCGTTCAACAATAATGGTTTATTAACATATAGATGAAATTAAGACCAATTTGCTTCTAGATATATCATAACATGACAATCCGAGGTAGAAAAACTAAACGTGGTCAAGGGAGAGGTCGCAGCAATCCACCACAAGCTTCTACTTCCCTAGGTATTCACTTCTGTAAATGCTTGGTTTGGATTAACACATTTTCTCAGAAATTGTGAACTCTTATCTCTACACTTGTAGATGTTTTAGCATTACCACTGGCTTCAAACTAATTTTCTCAACTTTGCGAATTCTTGTCTTTGCAGCCAGTATGAGGATCTTACTATTTCTTGTTACACAGGTGTCAAGGTTGACCAGAGCAAAATTCAAAAGAAAAGACTGGTAAAGGGGTTTGATGCATTAGATAATAATAGGGAATCCACCCCTTTTAATTCTGAACAGAGTGATGAAGACAAAGACTACAATGATGGTGATGATGAAGAGATGCAACTCATCACGGATGAAATTAATCAACAAAAATTACCGGAGCACCAAGCTGCTGATGCAAATAATATGGAAAAATGTATTGAATCTAGTTTTGGATTTTCCAACCATGTGAGGCCAGCAAGCGGAGGATCCTATGTAGAAACAGATAGGCGAAAAGTTACATCTTTAGAGGGAATCTATAACTCGTAAGTCACTTGTCACTTGCTGCCTTTCTTTTCTGCTTGATCATTTGTGGTTTGTTTTTACAAAGAAATAAAGAAAAAGAGTTCTAGAATTCTTGCCATACATTTGTAGAAGCCGCACTTTGTATATATTGATAAGTTTCGTAATATACTCATACAAATAAGGCCAAGTTGTATGTAATTATTATCTTTAACATGGAAATCAGTAGCCGACGAGTTACTCGTAGTCGAGGGAGAGGTCGTAGTGATCCACTAGAGTCTTCTCAATCAGGCATTGATCCACCACTACAACCAGTACAAACTTCAGTTTCCCATGGTATTTAATTTTATATTATAAATGCTTGCATATGGTGCTTGTTGAATGTTGTAATTGCATATGATGCATATCGGTTGATCTCCCTATTTCTTGTTCTACAGGCGTTAAGAATGGCGGGAATAAAATTCAAAAGAAGGGACGGGGTAAGGGGGTTGATACATTAAATAATAAGCAGAAGTCTACTGTTTTTAATTCTGAACAGAATGATGAACACTGCATCAATAATGATGGTGATGTTGAAGAATTGCAACTCATAGTAGACAAAATTTGTCATTCACATTTACCCAAGCAGCAAGCAACTGGTGCAATAATATGGAAAAGTCTATAGGATCCAATTTTGAGCTTTCCAACAAAGCGGGATCATCAAGCGTAGGATATCATGTAGGAACTGATGCCAGAAAAGTTATATCTGTAGAGGGAATCTCTAACCCGTAAGTAACTGGTCACTTGCCATTTTTCATCTGTTTGATCATTTATGGTTTGGTTAACAAGTAATTAAAAAAAGGCAAATGCTAACAAGTGCTCAGAAGCACATGCTAAGGAATAAAAAAAATAGAAATATTGTCTTGAAAGTGGTGTATTCAATTCCTTAAAAATTAAAATATTGTGTTTTTCGGGATGGCATTCTTGTATTTGGTTCCTTAACGTGTGGACACTTGTTAGCCAAAGCTTGAAAAAACTAAGAACATGTCATGGAGTTTGTTGTATGCATTCGTAGAAACTGTAGTTTGTATATATTAATATGATATATTTCATAATATATATTGATAAAACTAAGACAAGATGTATATAAATATCTTTGACATGTCAATCAGAGGTAGAGGTAGAGGAATTAAACGTGGTCGAGAGAAAGGTCGTAGTAATCCACCAGTGCCTTCTAAATCGTGTGTTGATCCTCCATCACCACCACCACCACCACCGACACATACTTCGGTTTCCCCAGGTATTTCACTCCACATATGGTGTTTGTTGCATGATGTAATTGCATATAATGCATATATGTGGATCTCATTATTTATGGTTCTACAGGTGTCCAGAATGACAGTAACAGAGGTAGAGGAATTAAACGTGGTCGAGGGAGAGGTCGTAGTGATCCACCAGTGCCTTCTAAATCATGTGTTGATCCACCACCACCGCCACCACCACCACCACTGACACATACTTCGGTTTCCCCAGGTATTTCACTCCGCATATGGTGTTTTGTTGCATGATGTAATTGCATATGAAGCATATACGCAGATCTCATAATTTATGGTTCTACAGGTGTCCAGAATGACAGTAACAGAGGTAGAGGAATTAAACGTGGTCGAGGGAGAGGTCGTAGTTATCCACCAGTGCCTTCTAAATCATGCATCGGTCAACCACCACAACCTGCAGCAGCAGCTTATACTTCGGTTTCCCCAGGTATTTAACTTTATAAAATGCTTGCTTGTTGCATGCTGTAATTGCATATGATGCATATATGCGGATCTCATCATTTCTTGTTCTGCAGGTTTCCAGAATGTCTATAACAGAGTTCAAAGGAAAGGACTTGCTAAGGGGTTTGATGCATTAAATAATAAGCAGAAAGCCACTGCTTTTTACTCTGAACATAATGATGAGTATTATGATTTTAGTGACAGTGAAGATGAAGAGATTCAACGCATCACGGAGAAAATTTATCAAAGACAATTACTCAAGCAGCGTATTGCAAATAATGTGAAACAACGCATTGGCGCCAGTTTTGGACTTTCCAACAATGTGAGGCCATTAACCGGAGGATCCCATATTGAAGCTGATAGGAGAAATGTCGTGTCTGTAGAGGGCATCCTAACCAGTAAGTCATTTGTCAATTTCTGTTTGATCATTTATCGTTTGACTTACCAAGAATAAATAATAAAAAAAACTTATACGGTTCTTGGCATGCATTTGTAGGTGTAATGTGTATATATTGATATATTTTGTAATATATTCATAAAAATAAGGCCAAGTTGTATCTAAGTATCTTTAACATGACAATCAGAGGTAGAAGAATTAAACATGGTCGAGGGAGAGGTCCACCTGTGCATTCTCAATCATGCATCGATCAACCACCACAACCAGCTGCAGCAGCACATACTTCGGTTTCCCCAGGTATTTAACTTAATAAAATGCTTGCATATGGGACCTCATTGCATGCTTTAATGGCATATGGTGCTCTCTGCATGCTGTAATGGCATATATGTGAATCTCATCATTCTTGTCCTACAGGTTTCAAGAATGTCTATAACAGAGTTCAAAGGAAAGAACATGTTAAGGGGCTTGATACATTAAATAATAAGCAAAAAGCCACTTCTTTTAATTCTGAGCATAATGATGAATACTATGATTATAGTGATAGTGAAGATGAAGAGATACAACTCATCACAGAGAATGCGAGGCCATCATGTGGAGGATCCCATATAGAAGCTGATAGGAGAAACATTGTGTATGTAGAGGGCATCTCTAACCCGTAAGTCATTTTTCACTTTCTATTTGATTGTTTTTCTGGTTTGATTTACCAAGAAATAAATAAACAAAAAACAAGACCATGTTGTATATAAATATCTTTGACATGACAATCAGAGGTAGAGGAATTAAACGTGGTCGAGGGAGAGGTTGTAGTGATCCACCAGAGCCATCTCAATTATGCATTGATCCACAACCAGCGTCAGCATTGAATGGTACAACACCGGAAGATTTGTCCCCCACTCATGAAATTCCACATCAACTTCCAACATCTAAGCAATGTGTTGGGCGTGAATCTACACAATATTGGACTGTTGAAGCAATAGGTATATGTGTTACATTTACCTCATTTGTTATACTTTTTTTAATGATATTCTTACGAAATAAACTATTTTATTGCTGAAGACCCACAAGGAGTTATTAAGAAGATACAACTCAAGTATTGGCTAGTCAATGACTTGCCTATTGGGCTGCGTGTAATTGTGAACTTTGATGACCAAGGTGCTGCATATGGTGAAGCACAAGGCTTGCTTGCAGGATATTGTGGAACATTAGCAACTAATTGCAAATTATTTCCAATTAATTTTGAAAGGTGGTCTGGAAAATCGGGCGTACCAAAGGCTTACCTTGATAATTGTTTTGAAACAGAGTTAAAGGTATTGACACTAAAAATTTATAGCTTTACATTTACATTAATTTTAAATAATTTGTTTACTGTTTGAAATCTAATTTTGTATTTTTAGCCTCGATTTCAATTTAGGACTACTGAGTCCCTTGCGAAGAGATATTGCAAACTTAGCATTGCAAAGAAGTGGGCTGCATATAGACAAAGTTTGTGGACTCGTTTCTATGATCCATCCAAAACCCTAGAACAAATCATCAGTGACATTCCACTTGGTGTAGACCCAATTCAATGGGCTCATTTTGTTGACTATCGTTTGAAACCAGAAACATTGGTAAAACTTGATTACTTTGATTAATTTATTGTTGTGGTTAATGATATGGTTAATAAATTTACCTGCGTTTTCTTTTTTAATAGGAGATTTGTCGAAAAAATAAAGAAAATCGAAGCAAGCAAGTGATTCCTCATACTGGTGGTTCTAAACCTCTTTCGAGAAAAAGACATGAAATGGTAGCTTCACTAATTAACTTCACATGCTTTATAATATAATTTACTATCCATTTTGACATCTTTTTTATTTTAGTTTTTGAAAAGTGGACAACAACCATGTCGTGGAAAATTGTATATTGAAACCATAAAAAAAAGGATGGGTCATTTGTAAATGAAGCAGCAGAGAGAATAGCGGTAAGTTAAATTTGAAAAACTTATTGTTTTAAGGTTGCACGCTTGGATTTTAACCATGCTTGTTTTTGACTTGATGATCTTGTATATATACTAATAGGAACAAATTGAAGAGGCTTTGGCTCAAAGTAGTGTTGATGAACTTGAAATGTCTACTAATGATGTTGTCGGTAGAGTGTTTGGGCCCGAGCACTCTGGAAGAGTGCGTTGCATGGGTATGGGGGCAGCTCCTACAAATACATTTAGAGATAGCGGAGTTCGACTTTCAATTTTGAGGAATTCTTCGAAGGATGCTGCTACATCATCTTCTAACTTTTGGCAAGAGAAGTACACACACTTGGAATCTCAAGTTCAAAACGCTATGACAGCATTTAAAGCATACATTGTAATGAAAGAGGGAAGGATTCCCGATGAAATGGCTAACATCTTTGATTCACCAAATGTAAGTTCTTTTATAAGCCTATCTTAATTATTTTCTTTCACTAAATAATATATTTCTGATTTATAAAAAAAGAAACCAAAAGAGAAAATAAACAGGTAGTTTAATTTACTTAGCACCCAAATAAATAATTTCTCAATAGCATCCTGAATATCAAGAAAATGTTCAAAATGCATGTTCAATACAACACCTAATGTTGTTACTTAAAGTTCTTTGAGGGAGGAGGAATTAAATTGTGTGAAACCTAATGTTATCTAATATCATTGTGGTTTGTGATCTTTGATTGTAACATCTTTGAATCTTATTGTCATTGTGCACTTCTTGTGCCAATGCTTCTGTTAATTTCATAAAAGTGCATCGCCGTTTCAAAAAGAATGTAACATAATTATTATATACGTCTGTTCCAATACTTCTTGTGTCAATGCTTCTGTTAATTTCATAAAAGTGCATTGCTGTTTCAAAAAGAAAAGTGACAATTATTATATATTTCTGTAATTGTTTCTTTGCTTGATATTTGTTTTAGTTTGTTTGTTGGTGTGATTTTTGATTTGTTTGCTGCAGTAATTTTAGGTTTATTGTAATTTTGTTTGTGGAAGTTTCATCCAATATTTTACTAATTCAGTATTTTTAATTTTTTTAAATTTAGGCGGTTGGTGTTGCAAGTGAGCCTAATTTGCCTTGAGCTGAAGATTATGCGTAGTAGCAATATTTAATGTTTTTTAAGATTTATAATTACAATTATATATTATAGTTTTATATCAAACATCAAACAACACTTGAGTGGTTGTACAATGTTATGATGTGGGTTTTGATGAGATTGAGAAAAAGTGATATTGATTTTATGTTTTGTTATGATCTTTTTAGAAGTTGTATTATTATATCAATGATGTATTATTATGATCATTTCAAGCATTGCCACTTTACCCTAACTCCTAGTAGAAATAGATGTAACCAAAGAAATATACTTTGCCCCAACATTGATGCAGACTTGGTTTGGTCCTAACTGTGTTAAACAAAGAATTAACCTGATGTATATCCTAAAAACAACCTAGCTTGAAAGAGGTACAAAATAACAAATGATTGTGTCAAATTCAATTGACAGTCAAACATAATCTCGATAGGAAATCATAGTGCTACTAAAATTTCTGACTACATCACTTGAAAATTTGTAAGCATTGTACCGATTTTTCTCCTATTTCATGATAGTTAATACAATCAAGCAATTTGGCAATTAACATGATTTGAACATCAAACACTAAGTTACTAACTCACAACTGTCATTTTAAACTTGGTTGCAACATTTTCACAAACAATTGGAAAGTGTGGTTGTTTAATCTTAAAGCTACATTTAGCAACTAATCCATGATTCACGAATTTTGAATTATACTAACTACCAAATTCAGAATTTAACATTTCAATCATGCTCATGCTAGTTCTACTCAAGACTTCAAGAAGAAAGAGATGAGCGAGTATCACCACATACATACCTTTGCTTGGAGAATGAAGAGAAATTGGAATGAACAATGAGAAGTTCTAAGTGACAAGTGCATCAAAGATTGAAAATTTCTAGTGACTGCTTAGACTCGAGAAAATTTGGTGTTTTGGGGTGTGAGTTGTGTTTTCCCCCTAAGGTAGTGTGAAAAAATGTAGTGGATTTGTATGTTTTGAATGAAGTTTGTGATTAAGAAGAGTATACAAGTGATTAGTCCTCTAGATTAACTGTTATCCAACTCTTTTCATTTTTGGTTCTTTCACGAAGTTTGATCATCTATTTGTGATTCCTTCGTTAAGCTTGAGTATCTATTTTTGGTTCTTGAATGAAACAATAATGTCGTTTGTGAGAATTGACTTCTAATTTCTACGTTTTTCACAATTTCAGATTCAATTTCTAATTCACCTGTTTGTAGCCTTCTTAAGTTACCGAATCTGAAACACATTCAACATTTGATTCCAACAATCTTCACGAATTATGTTTGCTTTTCAGTTTCACCGCCAATAACTTCCTCATATCTTAGAATCGAGAGCATTTAGAAGTAAAAACAATTCGTTTAGTCGCCGTTTCCTGCTCAATCCCATTGTTAAGATCTCTGATTCCTTCGAGAAATCCGCAAAATAACAGAAGAAAGGATTTTAGATCCAGATTTATGGTTGCGTCGGGGTCTGAAGACAATTTCCATGAAATCCAGAACGAAGCTTCGTAATCCCCCGTTGACAGGGCTCCACCCACACTCCCAATCACTATTGGGGTACTTTCCGGGGCGACATCAAAAGATACTACAATTTTATAGTTAATGATGTCTGAATACTACAAGTTCATAATTAATGTCGGGCGTCGATCCAACACTAGAGTGCATCCTGGAGTGCCACCGGATTTCCACTTGATGCACCAGGGTCTCTATCGAACGGATCGCGAAATAGAGTTCCACCGAGAGTGTCTGAAGAAAGATACCCCGAATCTGGGTTGCAAGGAGATTTGTCCGTAACAATATCAAATCTCGACTTTGCGGCTCCGTTTCTAAGGAAAGACTAGACGAGCGTACCCAAGGAAAGTCAACCAACAAGCCAAATTCATCACGGGCGGATCTCGGGTCTGCTTGAGGTAGATACCCACTCTAGGGGAATATCAACCCTTGTGATTGAAAAATGCCTTGCTAAAACATTAGGCAGAGGAATTCGACAGACTCAAAATGTCAACGGTCGTCTTCAACAACTCCCTGGAGCAGCTGACATTCCAAACATATATCAGTAGTTAAGTGAAAGCCAAGATACCTATGCACCCTGTCCAACCTAAGTAGACACTTTGGAACACAAATAATATTTTGTTAGACGATAGGCTACGATATAGAGGGGGAGAGGGAGGGGGGGGGGGGGGGGGGGGGGTTGAATAGATCGCTAATGAAATTTTCTTATTTAAAAATATGTTTTAAAAGAGTTTAACTATGCAGAAATAATCTCGGATCGACAATCGTCTATCCTGAACCGTTATCGAAAAGATCGAATATGTGTTAAACCTTATAGAACATATTTGTTTGATGAGAAACTTTATCAATATGTTTTCAACAATAACGTTTGAATAAAACCACACAATAAAAATCGATTTCCAATGAAATATCAAACAAAAATTAATTTAAGCAATTTGTTGAACACTTGGTGTGCAATCAATTTAAACAAGATTTTTCTTTAATTTTATTATTATAAAAATCAATTACAATCTTATAGATTACAATAAACTCAACAAAACAAATTGAAGTATTAGAAAAATAAATTATTTTTATGTATCATTACGCAATCAATGATTTCACAATTTGAAAATGAGA